GGCAGCAATTCACGACGTGTGGCATGCTACTGACTCCTTTCTGATAAGCTACGATCAAATACATTCATGCATCATTTTTCAAAATAATTTAAACCTGAAAGATACAAATATTTCTTTTCATCTTCATTCTTCTTCATAACATTCATTCAACATTTACATATTATAGTTCTTGTTGTGTGATCTAAGTTTAGATTGACAACGTCCAATTTAGGATTTGTGATATCTAAATTGGGTTGAGAATTTTTGGGGGTTTAACAGAGAAAACCTTTAGGGTTTTTACTCCAAGATCAAGGGTTGATTTGGAGGTTTTTGCACAAGTCTTTGCATTTGGACTCAACCGAGTGAAAGCTTTGAAAAACATGGGTTCTTGCAAAGGAGTAGCGGTAACCAGAGAATCAATTGAAAGACTTGGGGGCAAGATTTTGAAATTAGATTCAGCCGAGTGAAAGCTTTGAAGAATAATGATTCGGTCAAAGGAATAGTTGTAATTAGAGGATCAAATTGGAGATCTTGTGTGACTTAATCTAGCTAAGATTAAAGGGAGAAAAGAAGTTATGATGAACATCAAACATAGGGTTTAGCAGTTTGAATTTCTACCACTTCTTTTGTAAAATGATATTGCAAATGTTAATTATAATATCTCAATTCGATTTCGAATTGAGGGCAGACGTACCCATAGTCAGGATAATTAAAGAACTGCCTAAACAAATCTTGGTGTTGTCTTTATCTCTCTCTCTCTCTCTCTATCTATCTATCTATCTATCTATCTATCTATCTCTATCTATCTATCTATCTCTCTCTCTCTCTCTCTCTCTCTCTCTCTCTCTCTCTCTCCTCTCTCATTCTCTCTCTCTCTCTCTCTCTCTCTCTCTCTCTCTCTCTCTCTCTCTCTCTCTCTCTCTCTCTCTCTCTCTCTCTCTCTCTCTCTCTCTCTCTCTCTCTCTCTCTCTCTCTCTCTCTCTCTCTCTCTCTCTCTCTCTCTCTCTCTCTCTCTCTCTCTATTTTGGTAACCCTTAGTGTGTAATTTGAATTGTTGAAAATTATGATTGTGTTGAAGTGTTTAAAACTGTTTTTGTGAAACCATTGCAATATAAACAATTGCAATTAATTTGTTACACCTTCAACACAAAGAGAATTAAGCTTGGCGTATTGCGCACCAAGTGTTTCATATTTTGATCGCACATCAAGTGTTTGACAAAATTCCTTAGTCAAGTTTTATTTTACTTCACATTGGAAATTGTTAACTTTAGTGTGATTTATATTCTCAGAAATTATATTAAACTTGTTGGTTTGTTTCTCTCTGTGTGTGTGTGTGTGTGTGTGTGTATGTGTGTGTGTATTTTGGTAACCCTTAATGTGTAGTTTGAATTGTTGAAAATTCTGGTTGTGTTGAAGTGTTTAAAACTGTTTTTGTGAAACTATGGCAATCTAAACAATTGCAGTTAATTTGTTACACCTTCAATACAAAGAGAATTAATTTTGGTGTATTGCAAATCAAGTGTTTGATATTTTGACTGCATACTAAGTGTTTGACAAAGTTCCTTAGTTAAGTTTTATTTTACTTCTCATTGAAAATGGTTTATTCATTGTGGTTTATATTCAAATAAATTATATTGAACTTGTTGGTTTGCTTTTCTCATCTTTATCATTCACTTTACTACGACTTGTATGCTTATTCGATCCTACCAATAACGATTCAGGTATGCGAGAGTCGATCCGGATTCACTTCCGCTTGCCACAGAAAAATATTTTTCAAAACAAAATTTTAATAAGAAATTTTTTATTTGGCGATCTATTCAACCCCCTTCTAGATCGTAGCCCTCGTCTAGCACCGATAACATCTTGAAACCAAACAACAGTGGGTTGACCCAACTCAATATCTTCATGTCGTGGTTTACTGATTTCAAACATATACATTCCTGTAAAAAGAAAATATCACCATCAGTATTAACTTAATTAGTTGAAAACTTACGTATTGCAAAAGAAAATAAATATACCTCTGCTTTCCAGATATGTCTAGAAGCATGGTATTCATAGAGATAAAGTAAAGAGGTGTCAAATCGACCTCCTATATAACTCTCTAAATAGGCATCAACATCCGCTTCCTACTGAGCTTCAAGGGCTTTAGAGACTTCAGATTCAACTACATCATCTAGGGACTAGTGGCCTCGTGAAGTAGTTGCCTGAGAGAGGCAATTACAAGAAGTAGAACCAGATGGTTAGGAACCCCGGCATTGCGAACCATCAAATGATTTATCATCGAATCATGGCCTCGTGGTCTTGGTTACGACCCTATCACATCGTATCGGCGCATTTTGGGACACATGGCCGAGTCTAGTTCTACCATGATTATTTTTTAGCCATTGAACTTGCGTTACAAACATACATAAAAAGACAACATGTTAGAAAAAATCTACCAATTCCACAAAATCAACCAAACTTTAGCCTAAAACAAATTTAGAGATGCATCTTCGAAAATAACACTAGAAAATCAAGAGATGAATCTCTGAAAAAAGTTGCGATTGTCACCCATGGCAAAAACTCCATTGTCGTCATAATCCTCCAAACAAATGTCAATGCATGTCCTTGTATGCTACCTATTTCGTTTTCACTAATATCTAATGTACCTTAAACAACTAATGTAGTGAAAACAAATAAATACAAATTAAAACATAAAAAGAAAAAGAATTTTAAAAAACTTACCAAATCAAATATAAATGAGATGGATCAGTTAAATGTATGAGATGTTGGAGATGAGGATAAAGAGTTCAAATGGTAAAAACTTGAAAGAATGAATGAGAACTTGAAATAAAAATCAAGGAGGTTGGATAAGATATGATCTATTACGAGAATATGAAACAAAAACGTTTGAAGATGCATCTCTGAATTATCCACTAATTATTTAATAGATGATGTTTACGGATATGTATCTTCAAACTTATTTTTTATATCGACTCAAACTAAATTTTAACATAATAAAATATTTCTTCAATTTAATCTAAACAATGACTTAAAAAATATAGATATATTTTCAAAAGCTAGAAGTAGTTGTGACTTTTCATGTTAGACCCCGTAAGATTTAAAAAATATAAAATAATTGTTATTTGATACTATGAACCGAATCCACTAATTATCTTTTTACAAAGACAAAATTATTATATAAAGACTAAATTTAAAAGTTGATATATTTAAATTAAATAACTTATTTATTTATTCACCCATCTACATAGTCGGTGACAAAAAGACTACTTTTCATGTTGGGACAAGCTTAGGTTCGGTGCTTAGTCTCTTTGGATAGGCGTGTGTGTGCGATGCTTCGCCCCTACGTAATTAATGGTGCGCACTGCCACGACATTACTCTATGTTCTCAACAATATTAGTTTTTTTCTCCTTAATTCACAAGCTAAATATTCTTGTCCGACAAGAATATTTAATTTTAGTCTCTAGATCATTAATAAGTGAGAAACTAAAACTAAATACTTTTATATTCTAAAAATCAATTGTAATATAGATAAATAAAAAAATTAAACAGATAAATGAGGATAAAAAATAAAATAAAAATATTTACAAAACCCAAAGCTAAATTATAAAAAATTAAAACTAAAAAATAATACATATACATGATCAATTATATATATATATATATATATATATATATATATATATATATATATATATATATATATATATATATATATATATATATATATATATAAACACCTTTTGTCAATCATAAAAATTTATAAGAATTTAATTAAAATATAAATTTTAATTAATATTGAATATTGAAAAAAGTTTGATGTTATTTTAATCACCCATATATAATGTTTTTGTTTGTATTGAGGTTAGACACTAAGACTAACAATACATGAATGATATTCTTATACTTATATGGTCATCAAATATTTATATTGTGTATATTATTTATTGTATTTATAGATGAATAATATATTTTTAAATAAAAAATATATTTATGAACAGTCAAATAAATAATATATAAATTGTGCATGGACAATGGTAAACTGTCTTAAGAAATAGTATTAAAAAAACATTGCCTTTAAGTAGTAAAATAAAATTAATTGATGAAATATACAATTTTAATTAATTAAGCAATGAAGTTGATTAATAAACGCCATATATTAAAAATAAGTTTTTTAATAAAACAAAATTAATTAATAAAAAATAAAAAGTTGATTAAAAAATTATAAATTAATTAATAAATATTTAGATATTAAAAATAATTTTTAACAATAAATAAAATTGATTAATAAAATATAAAAGATTAAAGAATTGATTAAATTTGCCAGCAGTGTGAAAGGAATAATATTGAATCTTGAAAATAAGAATGTCGAAATTGTTGTCTTTGGTAGTGATACCTCTAGCAAAGAAGGAGATCTTGTAAAACGTACTGAATTAATTGTGGATGTTCGTGCGAGAAAGGTTAAGCTAGAGCTTGTGGTCGACGCGTTAAGAGTATCTATTAATGACTCTAAACGATCACGAACGAAGAGTGTCGAAGTAAGAACCCCTAAAACTATAAAACGTAAATCAATTAATAAAATTATATATATATATATAAAATATTTCACTATTAATAATATTAATAAATAGTAAAATACTATATATGTATGTTTCTGGTGTAATAATATTATTTTTGCTAATAATAACACGGTGTTAGTTTCGCGTAATCTTAACTTTTAATAACGTTTCTTTCTTAGAAAGAAGAAGAAAAGGTGGTGTGACATTTTTGTGTGTTGGAAAAGCATCCAGTGTAAAGAAACAAAACATGAGTCACCATAACATCACAATACAGTAAATCCATTGGTGTTAAGATATGACATGACTGATTGAAAACCAAACTCGCCTCCTCTTTTCTTCACATTCCAAAACCACCTTTTCTCTCTCTCATTATCGCCACCGCCACTTCCCTCAACCAAACAAAACCATCACTTTCACTTCTCCTCTACCTGCAGAAACAAAGAAAGAAACAAGATAATATCATGGATTTGGACATCATGGCCAGTATTCACTCTGTCAACCACTTCTCTACCCTCCAATCTTCTCCTCCACTTCACTCTGGTTACTTCCAATGCTATTACTACTTCTCTTTTCTATTCATTATTCTGCTTCTCTTTCAAAACCTTGCTACTAACACTCATTATTTCCATTTACATGCAACAGATGATTATCCAGTAATCCATTACACAGATGTCTATGAGGATGATGATTACCAATCTCATCTCAGATGTCCTTTTTGTGATTTTCAAATTCAACTTCCTCTCCCCTCCAATGATTTCCAACACGACTATTGCCCTGCCCTCAAATATATGGTATAGCTTTCTGTTTCCTAATTTTTTTAATGTAATCTATGAAATTTCCATACATTTTATGCAAATAAACAATGGTTATAATATCTGATTCTATTTTCCCTCACCAGGTTTGTCCTGTGTGTGAACAAGATTTAGGAAATGATGCAATCGCTCAATTTACACACTCAACCTCACCAAAGGTATGTTTTTGTAAAATCCAGCAAATGTTTGAGCTTTCAAGTTTTTGGAGATCCATGATAGATTAGTCGCAGTTTAAAGTCATAAAAATAAATAGATGTCCTATTTAACTAGAGTTTAACTAACAGTCACAAACATTTTTATGAGACTCTATTCAGTTACTATCTTACTGAGACTAATTTTTAGCTATGTGCGATAGTCCGCCTTGCATGCTCTCAAAAACGATTCTGAGGTCTTAGTTTAGTTTGAGTTAATGACATTTCTTGATTATTTTGATCTATAGTGGGGATGGAAGTCTGAGAAATCTGGCACCTGGTCCGGTAATTCAGCAATGTTTGGCAAGAAACCAGCTGGCAGGAGAAACAAACAAGAATCGGTCGCTGATCCGCTATTGTCACCGTTCATCTACAACGTGCCCGTTCCTAACTCTAACAGTAGCCATCAAGGTGAAAAGTCCAGCTTCAAAAACAAGGATATAAACATTCACAGTGCAAAAAGGTATGGTTCTTGCAGATTATATAGTTAAGTGCTGAACCACCAATGAAAAAGTTTTAGAAAGAGATTGAAACTAATCTGTTGCTGAATGGATGCTACTGGTTTTGACTCTGCAGGTGCTGGACTGATGGTGTTGAGCTGGATCAACAAGAACAAGAGTTGAAGGCAGCTTTTGTTCAAAACTTGATACTATCAACCATATTCGAGGAAACATGATCATAGAACTTAATTTACAGTCCCGTAAATCATGGATTAGTTACAGCTTCTTACATATTCAGATAGTCTATGTGCTATGATGCTGGTCCAAGAAGCACTGGGTTTTATTGCGGTGCTTCGGTTTAGGATGTGAAGTAGTATAAGCAATAGTTATGTTTGAGGCTAAATGTATTTCGGATCTCTATTAATTAAAATGTGATTTTTCAGTTAACTCTTTTGAAATTCGGCTTAAATTTACTTACTACAGCTTATTGAGAGAATGCTAACAGTGAGAGATTGCACATCACATTTTATTATTCTGGTAACTGTGGGTATATTTGCCCAATTTTAAATACAGTTTTGACGGTTTGGTTTAAACGGGTTTCGGGTTTTGGGTTAATTCGAATGGATATTTCGAGTTAATTGGGTCATGGCAATTTTAAGGCCCAATATTATCTGAGTTTTTCAAAAAATTATTTCTTTAGAGACTTGCATACTAGTTGGTCTACTGTGTCTATTAGATTCTTAATAAGATAAAAACAAACAAGCAAAAACTAACCTTCAACTATGGAACCAGAACCAACCTTTCATACCCTTTGCACAACTCACATCTTCACCTTGTCACTAACTCCATAATAATGATAGTAATCAAGAATACCTGATTCAAGAACAGGTAAAAAAATTTTCCTTAATTTTAAATCCGAAGAAATGCAGGGACCAACAAGTCTGTTCTTAGCTTCTTTTGTTGTGAAATATTTGTTTTCATTCAATTCAATTCAGTTATGCTCTTGTACAATCGATTAATACTGCCCATGGAACAATTCTCAATATACGTGTGATTCCACCCAATGAAAAAGTAAGAAAACTTATAAGTAAATTAACAAAATCTTGTTCCCCTTGAGCACACAAAATCTCGCCATCTGATTTCTTATAACTAGTTTCAAAATGAGTTAAAGATCCCCACTAAACTCAACATCAGTGGATAAGAACTTGGAATCTCCAATAGATAGTTTTTTCCCCTAAAAACAAACCGGTCAAAATAGAGACTTGGAGAGCAAAGTACATTTTAGCAAATCGAGTACCTATATCAAATAGTGAGACTAGATTAGTAATGATAATTAATAATAAGTCATACCTGTAATTGTACTAAAATTTATCATTTATAATAGTAAACTTAATCAATCATTTATAAAATAGAAATCTATACAAAACCTTTTGTTTAGTGATATTCAGAATTTTTTTTTTTTTTTTTTGTTAAATATGTAATTCATTGTTTTAAAAGATCAAATTTGATTTATAAAGATTAAATTAGATAATTTTTTAGCTTTTATAGTTTGAGGTTTAACTTGAAATGCAAATTAACTTAAATTTATAAATTGGGAGGAACCCTTTTTATTGTAATCATTAAGTTTGACAAGTATGGTTTTGCAGTTGCAAAATAATAATAAAATCTAAAGTTGTGTGCAGAGAGTTACTCTGCAATTCATACTCATTTTCTTTAAACGTGTTCTTGTTTTTGTTCATTGTCATTACATAACATTCTTGAGATCAAGATTTAGAAGAATTCACCATAGATCTTGGTTGAATTTCAACATTTGATATCTAGAGCTCCGGTTTTGATTCAAGGGAAGAACAACTGTGATGGCGATGAATCACCCGAACGGTCACTTTCCAGCAAATCTTCCAATTCTCAAGAAAGATAATTATGAGAATTGGTGCAAGCAGATTAAAGTGATTTTCTGTTACCAAGATCTTTGGGATTTTGTGAAGGAGGAATTATCACCGTTTGTAGAAACTACGACATGCCAGGAGAAAACAACATATAAAGAGTTGAAGAAGAAATATTATAAAACTCTCTTTATAGTCCATCAATGTGTTGATCTAGATAACATTGAAAAGGTTAGTGATGTAGAATTAGCAAAAGAAGCTTGGGAGATTCTTGAAAAATTGTTTGGAGGCGCATAAAAGGTGAAATAGGCGAGGTTACAAACTCACAAAAAGACTTATGAATTGCTTCAGATGGAATACAATGAAAGTATAACAAATTTTTTCACCAGAGTTACAAAGCTGGTGAATCAAATCAAAGCATATGGAGAAGTGTTGACATTAAGATCAGTTGTGTAAAAAATCTTGAGGTCATTGCCTCCAAAATTCGACCACGTGGTAGTAGCCATATAAGAGTTGAAAGACTTGTCACTATTGACAAAGGAAGAGTTTCAAGGGACGCTTGAGTCTCATGAACAAAGGATGACTGAAAGAGATGCAGGAAAGTCGAAGAGTGATATGACTCTGCAGGCACAATCAGAAAAAGAAAGAAAAGCAAAGGAAACTGGAATGGAAACAAAGGTAGATGAGGTTACACTAATCCGACTGGTCGAATCAGAGAAAACCTGGAACCAAGGAAACCAAAGAGGTGGTGTTGCAGTTAGAGGAAGAGGTGGTGATAAAAAACATGACAAAAGTCACATTCAGTGTTTCAATTGTCAGAAGTATGACCACTATTTTAGTAATTGTCCAAAAAAGAAGAAGAATCAAGAAACTGATGCAAAGCTGGCGAAACATGAAGAAGAAGAGATGTTGCTGATGGTCACAACAAGAGATGAAGAAAGATTTCAGGACCAGTGGTACTTGGACTCAAGATGCTCATCACACATGACTGGAAGGAAATAATGGTTTGTCAACATGAAGCCCTTGTCGAAGAACACGGTGAAGTTTGCAAATGATAACACTCTAACAGCTGAAGGTGTTGGTGATGTTCAGATCATGAGGAAGGATGGTAAGAAATCAATAATTTCCAATGTATTATACATACCAGACATGAAAAGTAACCTGTTTGGTATAGGACAACTTGTCGAAAAGAACTACAAGGTAGTTGTCAAAGACAAGATAATGAGAGTTCTCGAGCAGGTGGTAGGTTAATCTTGAAGGCTCCAATGTCTCAGAATATGACCTTCAAGATTAAACTCAATGTGATGGAGCACAAGTGCCTAACAACTGCAGCAAGTAGAGATGGAAGATTATGGCATTTTCGACTAGGCCATCTCAAATTCAATGACATTAGAGAGCTAAAAAGAAGAAATATGGCTTCAGGATTACCTGAAATAGGCATTACAAGTGAAGTCTGTGAAGAGTGTGTTCTGTCGAAACAACACAAGAATAACTTCAGTAAGGATGCAGGAAGGAAGTCGAAGACAATTCTAGAAGTCATATACTCTGATGTATGTGGTCCAACCCAGGTGGATTTGATTGCAGGTAACATATACTTTATCATGTAAATAGATGATTACAGTCGAAAGATGTGGACTTACCTCATCAAAAAAGTGATGTAATCGAGGTATTTTTCATATTCAAATATATGGTCGAAAGTCAGAGTGGTCGAAAGTTGAAAATTCTGAGGACTGATGGTGGTGGAGAGTATGTGCCGAAAGAGTTCGATGCAATATATGAAAAAGAAGTGATTTTACATGAGGTGGTGCCACCCTACACTCCACAGCAAAATGGAATTGCAAAAAGACAAAACAAAACCATCATGAACACGGTGAGAAATATGTTGAACGAAAAGCATCTACCCAAATATTTATGAGGAAAAGCGATTTCGACAATAACATACATATTAAACAGATGTCCTACGAAGAAGCTTGAAGGAATCACACCAGAAGAATGTTGGTCTGGTGTCAAGCCTAGCCTCAGTCACTTGAAGGTGTTTGGATCTATAGCACATAGACATGTGCCAGATCAGTTGAGAAGGAAGTTTGTTGACAAGTAGAATAAGATGATCTTGATAGGATATCATTCGACTGGAGGTTACAAGTTGTTCGACCCAGTGAATAAGAAGGTAGTGATTAGTAGGGACGTGATCATAGATGAGCTTAAAGAATGGGATTGGATTGAGAATGTCGAGAAGGATTCGGTGAGAATCTCTTGTGAAGAACCAGCCAGTGAAGTCAAAAGAGAAGTTCGACAGGAAGAAGTCAGAGGTGAAATAGGCCCAAGTATACCTCAACAAACAAGACACAAGCCTGCAAGATTGCAAGAATGTGTGATTACATCAGATGATATGGTCGATGAAGGATTTCTTCAGAAGGAAGGAATCAACTTCGACGAAGTGTTTGTACCTATTGCTAGAATCGAAACAATTAGGTTGGTTGTTGGTCTAGCAAATATGAATAATTGGCACACATGTCAGATGGACGTGAAGTGTGAATTACGTAATGGCCCCTTAGACGAAGAAGTTTATGTTGCACAACCAGCTGGATATGTGAAACAAGGCGAAGAAAAAAAGATGTACAAGCTGCATAAAGCCCTGTATGGACTTAAGCAAGCTCCAAGAGCTTGGAATAAGAAAATCGACAGCTTCTTAAGGAAGAAGAAATTTTTGAAGTGCACGTCTGAGCATTGAGTATATGTAAGGAGAAGTAATCGCGAATTGCTTATACTATGTCTCTATGTTGATGACCTGTTGATAACAGGAAGTTGCAAGAAGGAGATCGAAGATTTCAAACATGACCTAAGTGAGGAGTTTGAAATGTCAGACTTGGAAAATCTCTCATATTTCCTTGGCATCGAATTCTACAAGAGTAGTAGAGGTTTGGTGATGCACCAAAGAAGATATGCATGCAAAATAATCAAGAGATTTAAGATGCAAGATTGCAACCCAACTTCGACTCTAGCTGAGACCAGATTGAAACTGTCAAAGCAGCCAGATGAAGATGATGTCGACCCAACCCAATATAGAATATTTACTGGGTCACTTAAATACCTTTGTCACACAAGGCATGACTTAGTATACATTGTGGGTATGGTAAGTAGATTCATGCAGAAGCCAAATGTATCACACCTAGCAGCAACGACGAGGATACTGAGGTATCTGAAAGGGACTCTCGACTACGACGTTTTGATTCCTGCAGCTGATGAAGGAAAATAATGCAAGTTAGTGGGATACGACGACTCTAGTTGGTGTCGTGATGCTGAGGATAGAATATCCGCAGCTGGCTATGTGTTTATGTTAGGTGGTGAACTAG